ACTGCAAAAAAGGTATTCTGACGTGTTTTTATCGACATCAAATTATATTGCCATAGTTGGTGCTCATTTCCCGTTGCCATATTTTTGTTGTTGAGTGTTATTAACGTTTATTTGCATGTATAATTTATCTCTTTTTTTCTTCCATACATTGTTTGTCGACAAATTTGTTTTTTATTTTGTTTATTCATGTCCTATTTAAATTTCGTGATTAATAATTTTTATCTTTTAATCTAAATCGCCGTTATTTTATATTGCTATGCTCCTAAACACCGCAGTTCAACAGTTAAATGGTGATTAATTATTAATATTATTATTTTTTTCATATTCATTCATTMGCGTTTTTTGTGCTTTATTCGTATTAATAAAAGTAAAGCAACTCAGTTCTCGTGTAAATTATATACATATCATAACCTGATTTACTACATAAAGTTAAAAATTGTCAACCTGTAAATTGTCCATTCTTTTAATCATTAGATTTATATTTTGCTTCAAAATTGGCGATTTMCACGTCATTGTTGTTAAATTTCTTTCCACTGAGCAATTTCGTGAGGTCTGAGWACAGCAAAAAGTTGTTGGAGGTTAGACCTGAAAAATACGAGGGCATGTCGAGGCATTTTAAACATTAAATAATGTAATTCGGCACGATTTCCATTTATTTTTGACACGATCGCTAGTCCAGTATCAGTAACAGTTTCCGAGGCTGTTGTGTCCTTTTTGCAATCGTGCGATTTTTTACGTTGTGGGTTTCAAACCCAGCAGGGAGTGTTCGCCTTCTCACTTTGACTCACCATCAAACGCATTTTTTTTTTGGCAATTCAGTGAATACTTGGTCTAAGACTGGAAGTCGTGAGCTGCTTGAGCCATATGTAARAGAATTGTTTCTGGCCACTCCCAAGTGAATGGCAATTAGAGAACTTTCCCCACTTGCATGACTTTCTACGCATGACTCCATCCTCCCATGAAGAAGTTCGAACAGCAATTACCCGGCTGAAGAACAACAAAGCGGCAGGG